TCAACATTGGCTGCCAGGAATCCACTAGACCTCCCGCGACATCGAACAGCCATCGCGTGGTGTCGACACTGTCGAGGCTACCGTTGGCGTACATCCCGCAACATCGCACACGACGCTCACGAACGTTGTCCCGCAGTGGCGCACCGTTCCCTACTCGCCTACAAGTCAAGTCGTTGTCGTCGTTAAGAAACATGCCCTGCCGCCATGCAGCACATAGTAATAACATAGTAATAAGATTACCTGTGCGGAAGCGCACCGCGCATTGGAACAACATACTAATCGACGTAAATTATTTGGCCAGAAACTCATCAAGCTATTCACATATTCGTCTTTTCTACTCATTTTAAACGCTTTTACCCGCCCCTCACGCGTTAAATTTTTGTACGTTCCGTAAACGTGCGTACAAGGAGGTGTTTATGTTACCCAAATTACACTATAACTCCATGAAATAACGACTTAACCTACATAAACAGCAACATATGATTTATAATGCATCGGTTGTCCGCCGCTGTGCCATGCGCTGTGAGCGTGTTGAGCGCGTGGGCCGCGGAGATGTCAGACCTGGAAGTTCGGCGTCGGCGTGAGCAGCAGAGTGGACTCACGCTAGCACACGCTATGACTCACGCAAGCGCACGCTAGGCTACGCTTACACACACTCATCCCAAGACTTCAATGACCTTAAATTATATTACTTAATGGTATGTTTTGTTTTGTAATGCAACCAGGGATGCCTAAGACACGCCTACGCCAATCCTGGTGGCTGGGGAAGTCTTGGATGACGCGGAACGGCCGCAAAGGCGGTTTACGACGTCACGCTAGCGCACGCTAGTACTCACGCTAACGCACGCTCGTTCACGCTACGTCACGCTCACCCACGCTAAAATAATGGTGCCCAGTCATGACTCATCAGTTACTCCTATGCACGTAATCAAGCAGCTTGGAAACAAAAAAAAGTGTACAAAAATAAATAGAACGAAAGTTATACATAGGCGATAGCCATATTATACATCTTTTGATTATGATTACCCCAAAGCCGCCGAGGAAATTTCGCATCCTGAATTTTGATTTACATTAGCGCTCCCTTGGTTTGATCTCGTACACTTTTGAGGAACTGAATGAGGTCGGTACCACCTGTCCCCTTCAAGGGCGCCTGATGGGTACCCCGTTTTTCCGACACATGTTCTTTACCAGGCCCCTGTGGTTCAACCACAGCATCTTCCCGGGGATGGGGTTGAGCAGACGAGGTGGATCCACGGGCGCGTCGCGAGGGTCCGATGATGTACAAAGTGACGATGATCATGTGTGCGTCGCGGAATTCCTTGAGCGCCAACACAGCGGCGTTGTAAGCGTCCAGGAGGGCGGCTCCGTCAGCCTTATTCGTCTCGGAAGTAGACGCGGTGAAAACGAGGTCGCGAAGAGGGCGGGGGTTATTAGAGAGGTGGTTTAGGAATGCGCGATGGTGTCTGGGCATGTACAACTGCATGCGCTTGAGAAACGCGGCTTGGCGGGTCATGGATTCTGGAGTCTCTGAAGCAAGCCCAGTGAGTTCCTTCCCGTGCGAATACTTATCGACCCCAAGGAAGATGTCAATCGCGTGAATGAGGGCGCTCTGGCCCGCGCTAGGCCCGGACAGTTCGGTTGGATGGACGAGGGCTGGGTCCTGCTCGATTCCCTCGAATATCCATTTTCTTCCGCTTTGCGAATCCTCGCCGCGAAACCATGGTCGAATGTCGTGGTAAAATACTTCCGGGCTACAGCCCTCCTTAACGTCTAACAACATGACCCGAAGACGGTGTGTGACGTCGACCAGTTGACGGAGATATTCCGTAATTCTGCGGACGGCAATGTCATCGCCAACGAAAGCTTCGTCCATGGTAGACCTCATAAGATCCAGCGCGTCAACACCCGCTAGTTCCATGCGCGCCGAGGTAAGGTAGAACTCGGCTTCGTCTTTCGTGGAAGTGAAGGAAGTTTGGCAACGTATCGTCGATTCCGTTGGTAGATCTTCGCTATCAGATTCGCCTAGATGCCAATTGTAGAGTACATCATCCGAGTAGGTCAATACAGGTGGCAGCTGAAGTTCAGCTGATACTTGAAGAAGAGGAAGTGTGAGGGGAGGTGGGATACAGATGGGTTCGGTTGGAGGAAGGGAGTGGACGTAGAAATGCATAATCCATGCTAGGACAAGATGTGCGCGCCGTAGAACGACTTCCGAAGATTTCATCTCTTCTATCGAGATTATTGGTAACTAAGAATTTGTCGCATAACATTAATGAATTTTATATATATCCAAGGTGTGGGAGTGACACACCTTTCGGACCCGTTCCCTCCATCGTTCCGAGGCTTGCTTCTGGGATTCTGTAAGCTTTGCACTCTCCCCTAATTGTAAGATGTCGGAAATAGCGTCATCAAGAAGGACCTCCCATAATTCCCACTTAGAAACAAGACGCCGGACAGGTACTTGGGGTGGCATAAAACCTGTTCTTGTGTCTACGTCGAAATCATGGGCTGCGACAGTGGTGGTGTCCACTACGCCAGGAGATGGACCGACATGAATATCTGGCCGAGGAAGAGATAGGAAATGGTCTGCGCTCAGTTGAGCCATAAGAAGATGCCGCAGGCGTTGAAGGTATGCCTAGAGTATGGGAGTCGGGTTCAGGTTACTAATACAAAGTGCAACAGATGAATCAGAATTCAAGATTTCGCAGAAAATATCACGATGGGCATCTTATCAGATTGTAACTACTTAAGTATAGAAACGGATCAGCTGACATTTGTTTTTACCCTGATCCGAACTCATCCGAAGCCTAGAACAGCCCTAAGAATTCCCATAAACGGAAGTCGTGTTCCTAAAAATAGTATCGCAGCTGCTAGTCACTAACGCTGGTCATCCACGCTAGTTATTCACGCGTGTTCATGGGCGCTTAGCGCTTAACGGTGGAATTATCCCCAAGGTTTAGGTTCGAACTTTTACGCTTATATTTCTTTGATTACTAGATTGTTCTCTCTTTATGAATTCACAAGGTCTAATTACTCTGCACGTGATATCATATTGTGGTTGGTCGAAGACTTTTGAACACTGCTGCTTTGCGAAGGAAATTTGTTGGAAATTTTTTATATTGCAAGCGATAAAGGAAGAAAGTTATCCCGACACAAGCTAGTACTACCTCGAGCGCATTGTTTGCCTCTATTCTCCGCAACAATTGACGTCAACTTGTCTGCATGAATACCTACTTATGCGTACGGATAAGACCCGACTTGGATTGCCGCTCCGCCGCCTCCTATGCCCTGCGTGCCAATTGTGGTGTGCAATATTTTGGACCCCATATCTTCTATGCAGATAACGTCAACCCGTCCGGGAGGATTCATTTGATGTCATCACGTTCAATTCCTACAAAGACACCATCTTCGTAGCTCTGAGCTCACCCGCAATACTCGCAACATCGCTCATACTATTTCGTCATGGCCAACCAACTACAACGTCTCATATCCTCTGTCAATACAACTCCTGTATTCGATGTCGACCAACACACTGGATTCATGGCGCCCGAGCCTCCAACCTCGCGTTTGCCAGGAAGATGGGAAGCTTGGGAGGTTGCGTTGGACAGCGCGATAGGGGCTAAATTGCAACTCGGGGACAAAATCGGTTTGACCGCATCGGAAGCCTTGACTTCAGAGCGTTGGCGCGCTGAAGTACGCGAGGTGCATTTCCTTCATTTCTTGCTTGCGCGGATCATGTCTGAAGCTGAGAGGCGATTGTCGTAGATGCCTGTACTCTCTGTAGTCGGCCTTGAACAGTCTGTCATCTTCCTTAGGCGGGCTCACCTAATCCTCGCGTATATCCTACACTTCTATGTCCAAAGCCTACCGCCCAACAGATCCGTATCCATACCACCATCAATTTCTCTGCCCATTCTCCAGCTTGCCAACAAACTGGATCTGCCGCCTGTACTCACGTTTTCCGACACCGTGCTCTACAATTGGGACTATAAGTCAAGTACGCAATATCCGGACCAGACCCCTGACATCAACAATATCAGAATTCAGACTTTGTTTACCGGACTCGTCGACGAGGAAGAATTTTATCTTTGTTCGGCGCGTATCGAACTTCGAGGAGTGGAAATTCTAGAACTTATGCGTATGACGATGGACGAGACTTTCGTTGGAGATGCTATTGCCGTCCGCCGAATCACGGGCTATCTGGGCACCATTTCGAATACGATTGAGGAACTCAAGAAATTGTTACTAGAGGTAAAAACGAAGTGCAACCCCGACGTTTACTACAACCTGGTTCGCCCCTGGTTCAGAGGCGAAGATTCTGACGAGCACAAGCGGAAATGGATATTCGAAGGCGTAGAGGGATACCCGGAGCTGCGCATTCCGAAGGAACTATCCGGGCCAAGCGCGGGCCAGAGCTCCATGATTCACGTACTCGACATCTTCCTCGGCGTGGACCATCAGGCGACATCGCCGGGGCAGCCCCCATTCATGTCCCGCATGCAATCATACATGCCGAGGAACCACAGGCTCTTCCTCGACCATTTGAAGGCGAATCCACGCCCATTACGAATCTTCGTCACCGATTCGAAGGACGCCGAGCTTCTGGCGGCGTATAATGGCGCCGTCATGGCTCTGAAGACATTTCGCGATGCGCATATGATCATCGCCGCGCTCTACATTTTGGGTCCTGCTCGAAGGGCAAAACTTGCTGCGTCTTCGCTAGATGGTACCGCAGACAATACAAGTTCGGGCTTGACGAAAGTTCCCTTGAAGGGGACGGGAGGAACGGATCTAGTTAAGTTCCTGAAGGACACTCGAACACGGACGACTGAGACCATCATTCCTTAGAACTGGATAGATTACTGTGTTATACCAATGCCACTGAACGAGTATGGAATATTTTATCTCAAACTTTGGACGAGACCGATGGCCAAACTCACCAAGCAGCCGCCTTCTAGTATTCCAGCATCTAGAAAGTGTTGGTGGGCGCTAAAAGTTATGGCAAGATGGCCGAGCGGTTAAGGCGTGTGACTCAAGCTTAAGCAGCTTCCTGTTAAGAGCAGGCTTCTCATCACAGTAATGTGGCAGGGGTTCAAGTCCCCTTCTTGTCATTTTTTTCTCATTTCCCCAGCAATTCGGTGCGATGAGATGATACAAAATTAAAAACATTGAGAACCGAAAATGAAATATGTTTTTGTGGCAATGTTGTGTTATTCCATTCTAAATGCTCCTGGCTAAACTTCGAAAGCCGAGCCCTGGTATTCGCTATTGAACATGCTACACGGAATGTGCTAAACGGAATGTTTATCGATTACGGGTTTGCCTGACGCATGTCGCGTCGCACGAGAGGGAGAGAATCCCACAAATGATCCTGATCGCGCACGGATTGGAGCAATCACTACACAGATGATTTATGTCATTTGGTCCACGTAGCTTGCGATATTTCCTCTGGAGTGAGGGAACGGAGGCAACGTATGGGCGCTTAAGGCGCGGGTCACATCCGGCTATGTATCAGATATCGCGCGTCAGATTTTTTCTTTACGATTTTGCCGCTTAGCGATACATCTGACATCATCAATACTTATGCATACGACGAGACAGATAGCGCAAGGTCTTGCGAGACTTTGGCGAATTATATATACAATGGAAGAGGAAAACTTTTCTGAAGTAAATTCGCAAGAATATATAAATTTGCTGTAGAATCTTTGACGATGAACCTCAATGGCGGTATGTGATGCCAACTGCGGTTAAATGAGGAATACTGGATATGTCAAGATAAGTTTATGGGAATCATAGTCCTTGAATTAGCCCAGGTATATAAGTAATGAAGCAATTTAGGAGCAAAGGAATGGATGGACATCGGTACTGGTCCGTGTGCCTGATAAACGTTCAAAAGGGCGAACTACAATCGACAGCGAGTATACAACAGGAACAATAAAGTGGAAGGCATAGTGATCTACAGTTGATTTACAACCGTAAGAATAGAATAAAGAACAGAAGATGTATACATGCATAGGAATTGTGCGAGGGTCAAATTTAAACCTTCTCACTGAAAGGCTAAGCGTTGTGCATTTGAACACCAGCTGATGACAGTTTACGCTCCCTGATTACGAATGAGGAACTGAGATTCAATATTGATTGACGAAAACAGTCCCTTACCCGTTAGCATTCCCCAAGAGACTTTCAAATCGCATCCTAAACCCGTCAATTTTGCCGTCGTAGTCGTGACCCATATGTTCTCCGTGATCCATTTGGAAGTTGGTGCATTCTCTGATGAATTGCTCCAGATCTTTTACACGAGTAATTGATAATTCTGGCTCATTTGAGCCTCTCGCACGGGCAAGATACGAAGCGACAAGGGTAGCCAGGGCACCTAAGTAAGCGAAATCAGAAAAAGTGATAGGCCGGTCGATTGAAAACGAGTTACCTAGAATGGTGGTCGGCACGGCTGCCTAAAATGATTTCGATTAAATTAGCTAAATATCGCAATTTGGGCGTTTCAGAAGAAGAAAAATACATACCGATTTCCCTCGAGTGGCCACTGCGGATAATCCAGTGGTAAGAGAGCCAAGAAGCACTTGCAACCCAATAGCTACATTAAGCGCCCAGCCTGTGAACTTAGCCTTGGTAGCATATTTATCTCTTTCAGTTGTAGCCTGAATGAGGGTAGCATGTAACCGGGCGCTGACGCTACCAGGCATATGCTACGTATCTGTAAGTACATTTACAAACGAAAAAGGCTTGACAGGAGACTTACCTTTTCTTTCGTCATATCTAATTCAGAAACGTGTTGCACCGGAACCACATGATCAATGACAGAATGAGTCCTTGAAACGCGTGGATCCGTCGCTCTGCTTCGTCTCATACTCGTACCGGCGGGGTCGTCTCCTGCATGAAGGAGTCGTCCAGGAAGAGCTGGCATATGATAGTTAGGGAAAGTGTCGTGAATATAGTCTTCGGCGGCATGACGGAGTCGCGTGCCAATCCCTTCATTCGCATGGCTGGCATCGTGCTGATAGGCGCCTGGGATATGATCCACAAGATTATTCGCATCCTCCTCCAACGCATGTCGAAGCCGAGCGCCAACGCCTTCGTTGGGGTTGGATCAACCTGTTGGTTTCCTTGCAAGCGCCCAACCAAGCGATGGCGCTCGCCGTCCAGAACATGTCGTAGATGCCCACCAATCTGCTCCTGCTGCCCTCGCAGGTTTTGGTTCGATTGGCCGCCAGGACTCCCATCCGGCGAACCTGAAAATGGATCACCACGTTGACTTTGGGGTGAGTGGGCGCTGCGAGGTCGAGCATCGTACTCGGTTGGTTGTCGAATAATCGGTGGAGGCGAAGGCAAAGGGTGACCAGATCCAAGCCCTTGATTCCGCGTGTTGAGTGGATTTAATTCAGGCCTTGGAATCGAATAACCTGCCATTCCCCGCTCCAGATCCGAAGGCAAAGCGACAGGGACTGCTTGGGATCCCCATGGTTGGCGGTAGATTCTGACCAGCCTGAGAAGGTCCGTCGCGATGAGGACTTCCTTCTCTAGAAGAAAATGGGTCTCTCGATTCTTGGCCTGGAGTGAGTTGTGGGGGCCGAAGTCCTGTACCACTGGGCGGCCTGCATTGCTGTTGAAATTGGCTCGCCGGCTCCACGTTGAATGTCTGGAACGTCGTGCTCGGAAGCCATTACTGGTCGACTATAGAACGCGCGCTTGAACGGGAGCAGCGGATGGATGCTGAACACGAACGACACGGGAAAACTGGAAGCACAGTGGTATTTTAGTAAATGCTATCATACGCCTTGAAATGAAGGGTGGCATGTTGTTTGTCCCGGAGGGGCAGAATGCGGCAGAGATGATAGATAATTATAAGTAAGGAACCTGGGTGGTCCAGATCTGTCAGTTGCATCGTGACGCTTATGTTCTTGTGGAAACTGGAGGGAAAATCGGGGGTATCATTCAGTTTTATTTATAGATATCTCGTACTACATCGTACTTACTATTTGATATCTGGAGGAAACCAACGCCAGTGGCGATATTCAGAATGCCCAGCTACAAAAACACATTGATTGAACCCTATAGGTCGGCGTTTCTAGCTATCAAATTTTAAAGCGCTGTTTTTGATTGCCAATTCTGCGCAATCAAGTATTGGCTGTATAGCTGATTGGAGTATTATTACAAGTGGCGTGTACACACGCTGCAGTTCGGACAAGTTGTCATCTTGAGAATCGAAGAATGTCGCTTCATGATTGCAAAAACTATATAGATAACCTATGTATTAATTATGGAATTTTATGGCATTGGCAAAGATATATCCGATGTATTGTAAATTTGTCCTATTTGGCCGGCCAAGGGAAACATTGGCGTACCCGTGCGTAGGAAATCACATTCCGATCCCAGCCTTCCGCGCTGTGATGTTGTAATGTTTTATCTCGTTACTGGCTCGGCATGTACAGTCTCTCTCGCCGAGGTTTCAGTCGTCTTCTCTGGACTCCTTGTTTGTTGAAGAACCTGTTAAATAACTTAGATTGAAGGCTGTCTGTGATGAAATGAAGAGGTTGACGGCAAGTGTTTGAAGTTATTGTTTAGCGCTCTATGTTCATTGGTTTCAGTTTCTGGAACGAAGCGGACTTGTTCTCGACCGTGATCCCATGTGCATAGATGAGCGCCAGGAACTCGAGGGAAGCCAAAGTCAGATAACAAAGGAATAGAGGGTGGTAGAATGCACGGTATTTGAATGATGGGGGTATGGATATCCAATGCTAAACGCTAAGCGCTTAAACATTAAACATGATGCGCGAGTACAACGATACAGTTCATGACCCAGGAGGTGATAGCTTGCGTTCCCTGATGGAGTGTGAGATCTAACTAACATACATAGTACACTGGAAATAGTCACCCATTTGCATTGCCTAAAAGCTCTTCAAAGCGTTGTCGGAATTTTTCGAGCTGATCGTCATGATCGTGGCCAACATAGTCTCCATGGTCGTCGCTGAAGTTATTGCAGTCTCTCAGGAAATGATCCAGGTCTTTCACGCGTGTTATGGATAGCTCAGGCTCATTCGAGCCTCTGGCACGCGCTAGGTAAGAAGCGACCAGGGTCGCTAGAGCACCTGGACCACATGTTCAGCGGACAGCACTTGTCATAAATATTAGCGAGCTTTAATTTGAATTACCAAGGATCGTCGTCGAGACAGCAGCCTAGAAAGTCGTGGCATCAGCGTGTGATTCCGGTCCTCCTTCGAGCTGCAAGGAGACGATGGTTGCTTACATTTTTCCCTTCAGTCGCAACGGCTGATAGCCCTGTAGTCAACGAGCCAAGCAGGACTTGCAGACCGATAGCAATGTTGAGCGCCCATCCCGTTAGTCGCGCTCTCGCTGCATATTTATCGCGTTCGCTCGTGGCAGATTCAATCGTTTTGCTTAATCGATTTTTTACAGAGCCTTTGATGACTTCAGCTCTATCGTCGTAAAACGGCTATCTCGCACGGATCTTAGCAATGCCTGACCCGAATGTAGAAACGGATAATTACCTCGGGCTCTTCATTGAGCGCCTGTCGGGAATTGGCATGACTCAGACGAGCAGACTGAGGCGCGCCAGACAAACGAGGATCTATCGATATCGTCCTCTGTCTCCTGGGTGCAAATTCGTTGTCTGTAGGCGTCTCCCACCTGGCAAGGGAGGTAAAGGTTGGTTAACATCGCCTCTTTGGTACCCGCTCAGGCGATTCTGAGCCATGCTGTCTTGTCGCCATAGACTCTCCGCATCTCCATTTCGATTCATAGTTGTCGGGGACAGTGGATAGTAAACCTGCGGTGGTGGTACAATGTTCACGGTGTTGGAAATTCGAGGTTGACTCGCCCGAGTATCCTGACTTCCAGAATTCGTCGTGGATGGATCACCCTCCTGAGTCGGTGGCCTTGTGCTGACGGTCTGATCGCCGGGTAGGGCCTCGTGTGTACTCGAGGGTCGATTATCCTGGTTAGTGCGTGGTGTGGCGTGTTCGACCGACATTTTCGTCTCTAGTTGTGGTACCTAGGAGGAGGAGGAGCACCGCTCGGTACCTGGGCGGTTAATAGAAAGGGAGAACAAGCTGGCGGTTGAAGCTAAAGGAGACTG